ATTGGGTCAGATATTTGAGAACATGATAAAAAAATTACATTTGGATATTGACCTGTGACTATAAGAATAATTTTTTTTTAATATACATATTTTAGTTTCAGAATATCTGTCATTCATTTCTTTTATCTAATATCTCATGGTTTTATGCTCTTTTGGGGGAATATTTTGGGGCATTATACTTATTGTTTAAGTGTTGCTATCTGATCGTATTTGTAATGTAGTCCTTGGTTCTTAGTTTATTGTTAGCTTATTGGCACATCTTTTTGTAGATTTTATTAAGTTTATGATTATTAGTTTGTTTTTTTTTTTTTTTTTTTTTTTTTTTTTTTTGTGGAACCAATTCCCAACAAAGAGGGAGAAACAAATCTTAGATAATATTGTATATGTGCTAGGTTAAGCAAGGGTTCATTGAATTGGAATTTGTGTCTCACTTGATAGAAGAATTTTAGGGAGTGGTGTAGCTTGAGAAAAGTTTCAGGATAGCTGATGCAGTGGTATGTCCAAAAATAGTGAAGTTAGGAGTTTTTGCTGAAAATTATTTAAAAACTCCTGGTGTATTAAAAGGAGTAAAGATTGTTTTAGAATTGAACCTCTGCTGTAAACAAACAGCAGGATAGAGAATGATTTTCATGAATGCACAAAAATAGAAAGAGGAGTACAACAAGGATTTTTTTTTTTTTTTCTTCTCACCGTATTTATTTAACCTGTACAGTGAAATAATTCTTAGAGGACAAAAAGACCTACCAAGATTTATTATCAGCGGATATAACTGTAACACCATATGCTATACAGATGACACTGTGTTGATGGCAGATTCAAAAAGAAAGCATAAATATTTGTTAAGCAAGAAGAAAGTTCTAATTATAAGAAGATAGAATGCATGATAGCCAGCAAAAGATGGTCAAGTTGTGTATTGCAGATGTTGAAATGCAAGAATTTAACTATCTGGATAGTGTAGTAACAAATGACAGAAATGATGGTACAGAAATCTGGAGGTACATAGAAATAGTGAAAGGTGATTTTTTCAGAAACTGATCAGTACATATATTTAGAAACAAAAGAGTGCTGGGTTGCTATGTAATGTCTAATCTCCCAGATTGCAGTGAATACTGGGCAATTTCCTTATAAATGAAACCTGAAGCAACAGATATGGTTCTTCTGACAAATATTGAGAATATCATGGACAGAGCATGTGATAAACAAAGAATTTTGAAGGAGAATAGAAACTACAAAGAATGCTGCTAACAATTAGAAAGATGTGGTCAAAATTTGAAGGGCACCTAATGAGGAAAGAAGGCTTGGAGAACTTAGAACTTACAAGGCATATTAAAAGAAAGAAAAATGGTGAGTAGCTAACTTGACAAGCTTGAGTAAATAGTTTGCAGAACAATAATCACAAAAACCATGATAAAGGAGAAAAAAAAATAAGAAATAGGAAATTCTAAAGAACCATGATTGTCTACATTTTTAAAGATGGTCACCTTGATTTGGTGGTGGGGGGGGGTCACTTTCTCTAAAGAGATAATATAAGTAAATGATCAAGTAGATGTATTTGGAAAATGTTGAATGATGCTGAATAGATGACTATGCATAGGAATAGTGAAGTTATTCATTTTCCTACTTCTATGTGTGTCTGTAAAAGATTTCATCATTAATTTGCTATATTTTATTTTTTATTAATTGTCTTCCTAAATATAATCAAAGAAAATGGACACTTAATAGTGTAATGGTTAGTAAGCTTGTCTTGCTAGATCAATTATGACTAGTGAGTTCAATCCTCCTTGGGTTCTCCATATATTTGGCTTTGTGCCACATCTAAGCTATGCATAGTAAATCACAATATAATCTAAGAAAATCACCTTGGCAGCAAATATCTCATGTTGCTAGGGTTTTTTGTATTTTTTTTTTCCTTGTTTAATTTGGTGTCAAATGAATATTGAAGCAAATCAGTCCCTTATCGCTGTGGTTTGACATCTGGACAAGATTTTGCTTTTGTCTTTGCCATCTGATTCTAAATCAGTAATTTGTTAATGCTGTCATTCTCACCAGTGTATCAGCTCTGTCAATAAGACATTATCAGGCAGTTTTAAAATGTACATGATAAAAGGGGTAAAAGAATATACAGTTAAAATGATAGAAATAGATATTGGCTAAACATGTCTGGGACATTGCAATATTCTTGTCCAGCCATTACAGGAAATTATAAGTTATTACTGTACAGTAAAAAAGAATTCTTTTTTTTTTTTTTTTTTTTTTTTTTTTCTTATTGTACAATTTCGAAAACATCTTTTGAAAACATCTTTGAAACTCAATAACCGATTAATAAATGAAGTGAATTTTAAACATTGAAATATAAAAAATAAAATCACCTCACTTATATTTTTAAATATTGATTAACAGCAAACATACTTTAGGGAATTCTTTCTTTACACTTCATTTGATATATGAATGAATAGTATTTTGTTTCTATGAATCATTTTGCTGAATGACTAGATTGTGAAAGCCAACAAAGGATTCCTTTTCTTTGCCTCTTATCTTTTCTCTTGGGACTTTATAGAAATGATTAATCATGATTTTTAAAGTTTTTCCACAGTGTGTGGAAGTTAAGAGCTTGAAATTATTTTTCTTCTTTTTGTTATTTAACAAGAAATGCCGCTTTCTAATTGTAATCTTTGCTCACTGGTGAAGTCTGATTTTATTTATTTTTTCTTTTTAGATGATTCTGCTTTCTCATTTCATAGAAAATAAAATGTTTATATATTATCCATGGTATACAATATTTTATATATGCAGCATTTTTTTTTTTTTTTTTTCAGTTGTTTTATTGTACGTTTTGGTATTAGAAAAACTTGTCTATTTCCTTTTTGAAATGTTAGTTTACAAATGTCGATCTTATTTGTGTCTTCAAAGCTTTATGTTGGTCAAAGTAAAACAAAGTTGCAAAATTTATTTAGTTCTAATAAATTACTGATTTCTGAAACCTAAACTTCATCCTAGCTTCTTGTTTGGTAATATAACAATACAATTTAAAATATTCAATTTTATCAAGTCTTTTGTCTAGCAGTTAATTTTTTTTATTATTAGCTTATTAACAGTTGCTATTGAAATGAAGATTTCATTCCCATTTAACCCTGTGAATGTTATATTAACCTTAACAAGTAATAATAATTTCATGCTGCAATTTTGTAATATTTCTTATGTTCTTCACTATTGTATGTATGGATTTTACTGGTGCCTGCTTACAATTAGCAAAATGAATAAGAAATACATTGAATTCATTCATTTTATTGCTTTTTTTTTTTTTTTTTTTTTTTTTTTTAATAATCTTGATAAGCAGCCCAAAATGCAATAATTAGGAGGGGCTTTATTGTAAAATATATACTCTTCTTTGATTTTTTGACTACATATTCTCTCTTTTTCTACCCTGCCTTTACCTCTGCATTTTCCTTTTTCAAGAAGACCAATAAAGAGTGTGGTGTGTGTGTGTGTGTATAACTTGCATATGTAAGTAATAAGAATTTTGGAGATATTCAATACAAGAATAGATGAGATATAATCTAGAGCAGCAAGAGGTGAGGGAGATTAGAATTGTTTATTAGGGTATACAGTGGGGTCAAAGTGAAGTTTTTAGGGTTTTTTTTCTCTTTGCTGGTCAGGGTCTTTTTTTTTTTTTTGGTTATCAGTTAATATTTAATCAGGTACTACAACAATTTCAACTTTATTTCCATCTTTTTTTCTTGGTAACTTATGGTCAAGTTACATTGAAACACCAGTTCCTGTATGATCACTAAAGTTAAGCAATGTTGAACCTGGTCAGTACCTAGATGAGTGACTGCTTGGGAATACCAGGTGCTGTAAGCTTGGATGTGTAACTGGTGTAATGAATAATGGCTCAGAATTGGAAATCAGAGAGCTGAGTTTCAATTCCAGTTGGGTTCGTTATATTCACTTGCATGCATATACCCTTGGAGAAAGGTATGAATGATCCTCTTCTCTCGCCCCCAGCTATGGGTTAATTAGTAGGATTTGTATTAATAAATCATTATCTCTAAAAATATTCTTCCAGTCTAAAAAATATTTTCTGGGATTAAATAACCTGCAAAAAAAAAAAATCAATTAATGTTTCTTGGCACATTTTTCTCTTGCAAGCAATATCTATATAACATGGGTGTCATCAATTTTACAAGTACCAGAAAATATTCTGTATATAAGGTTCTGAGGATTTTGTGATATTAGGCATCAGGTGAAATCGGAACTCTCTGCTCAATTACTCAGTAATACTAGTAAGAACTAAGGTAGTTTATTAACTGGTATAACACCCATAAAAAAACTGGTGCTATTTCTGTATGGTGGTATCTATCCCCACCACACACACACACACTTTTAGCCAAGGAAGACTAGGCTCCCTGGCTTTTGCAGGTCACCAGTCTGGGAGAAAAATACTTTCAAAAACCAGTTTACATGGAATTGGTTGCTTTACTCTATAAAAACATACTTTCTACAGAAACCATAACAGTAACACCTATCATAGTCAGGCTGTAGCCCTATATACCATGGGGGAGTTTAAAAGATTAACATATATATAAATAATGGATTTATTTTATGCTGAGATTTTACAAGTACTAGACTGACTGTAAAGTGATATTGTCTAAAACTTTGAGAAGTTATAAACATTCCAATTCATTTATTGCTATATTATCCATCACCTGTTTTAATTTAAAAGAGAAAAAAAAATTCTCTACTTTCTGAATAAATCGAACCCCCCTCACTGACTGACTATATACCTGACAAAGGTCAAAGAAAGTTATTGGCCAAAAAGTGTTGAAATTAAGACCATGAAGTTCAGTCAGCAGTTATGGTGTTATTTGGTAAGCATTTAGACACCAGTGAGAACCTCTGTACTGTCACTATTGTCAAAACTTCATATTACTCATATCTGTCAGTCTACAGTCCATATTTTAATCCCTATGATTTCTGGCCATTATTTTAGTCGTATCATATTGAAACACTGATTCCCATACAATCACTGAAGTTAAGCAATGTTGAGCCTGATCAGTACCTAGATGGGTGAATGCTTAGGAATATTGGTGCTGTAAGCTTGGATGTGCAGGTGGTGTAATAGATACTGGCTTGGAATTGTTAATCAGAGAGCAAATTCCAGTTATATTCACTTACACACAAATCCTCTTGAGAAATATATGAATCCTCCTCTTCTCCTCCAACTATTGGTTAATTAGTAAGACTTGTATCACTAAATCATTATCCCCCCCACACACACACACACAAAAAGTCTTACAATCTAAAAATATTTTCTGGTTTTAAGCTGTAGTTTTATTTATCATGTTTGTCATGATTTCTATTAGTTTAAACAATGATTTGACTGTAGTGGCCATTTATTGACCACATTCTTATCCTAAATGGTCTTTCCTAAGAATCTCCTTAAGATTTGACATTTTAGTTTATATTATTATTATTAATGGTTTATGTAGCATCATAAACCTATGTACTACTAAATGCTGGTAGGTGATGGTGCTGATTCAAGATAAGGTCAGCTGTATTGGCCTCCAGAGTAGAAGATTAAATGATACAACCTGTTTGTGGCCTTTTCTTTGGCATAGTTCAGGGATAAGCAAAGGTGTTCTTATCACTGTTCTGCTGTTTAAGGTCAGCTCGCAACTCCCAGAAATAGTTGGTATATCAGAATTGAGCTGGTAGCTTCAGTACCAAGATTTTTGGTTTTGTTGCTTATGTTGGCATCTAAATACTAATGTTTAAATTAATCTTGTATAGATTAAAATAGCTCACGAGAAAGGTTAAGTGTGTGAAAGTTGCCTTGCTATCTTTTGGTTGTTTACAGAAGGGATGTGCAACCTTTTTGTTTTTCAACTTTGGATCAAACTTTGTAAAAGTGAATAACAGCCTTGTGCCAACAAGTAGGTTGACTTGAGTTGGTCATAAAAGTGCAGTATTTTATAAAAGATAGTACAAACATCTAAGTATCTCCTGATACACATCCATTTTTATGTGTGTGCATAGCCTAGACAGCCAGATAAACACCTTACAGCAATCAAATTTCTTATTTTATTTTTTACTCATAGATAAGTTTAGGAATTATTTTATAGAAATAGTAAATGTATATGCTTTATTTTGAAATAAAACTAATGAAAATAAACTTTTATTTAACAAATAAATTCTAGTTGACATTTATGTACACTAGTAAAATAACTCCTAATGAACCATTTTAAAATGAACCCCCAGGGTGCATATGGACCCTACTTGAGAACCATGGATCTAAATGGATAAAGTAAGTGGTACATAGTTTGTTTACAGGAATATGTTATGCAGTTTACAATAATAAGCCTACATGAAGTAACAGTGAGAACAATCAACATGCAGAGAAAGTTGTTGTACATGAAGCACAGTGCTAAAAATAAATGTATACAAGGTGGTTACCTTAAATGTTCAAATAATGATATTAATGGAGACTGATGCAGAGAGAAAAGGTTTAAAAAGTTACGTATTGATGTTATTGTTGGGGGTAGATTTAAGAGGATAAAAAAGTAGGAACCGTGTGCTTTGACCTTGTGGTTTATTGTACTGGGTTTCAGTAGTTATTACGGGCTAAACAGGAAGTGGTTTAAAAAAAAAAAAATGGTGACAATTTAAAATGTACCTAAATTAAAAAGGACAAACAAAGGGAAAATAAAACAATATAGGTTCTGTACTGTGGTAAGAGAAAAATATTAAATTTACAAGTATGAGTGCTAGTGATAAATGTATACATAATATGTGGAAAAAAAACATTTTTATCAACCATGTTTATTCTAATATAGCTATTTAAAGTCTTGATCACTTAACTATCATAGAGAAAAACTATTTTATTGAGGTATATGATGGCTTAGGAGTTAACATGGGTAAATCAACTGTTCATTTTTAAGTAGATTAATGAAGGATGATAATGACTAGGAAACAGTTAATTTTAACAAAACATGATAAGGACTTTATTCATGAACTTACACAGTAGCTCATTTCAGGAAAATAAATCAGAATTCTTTAAGTTTGTAGTTTTAGCGTATTGTTATGAAGTGGAAATTTTCATACAACAGATTAAATGATCTCAGACAAAATGATATTCAAAGATGCTTAAGACAAAGGTAAGACAGGTCATTGTTCACTGAAGAGATATAGTTTGCATACATTCAAAAGTAGACTGAGAGATAGTTTGAAATACTAAGCTTTCTTGGATTATTGAGAGAAAATTCTTTGTTGCATGCTGGTTAAAGGCTGATAATTGGCAAGTAATTTTACACTGATGAGTACTTCAACACTGGTTGCCAGGAACTGAAATGAAACCTTTCATATGACTTCAGCCACTCTTAATTCAATTTTTTTTCTCCTTATTTTATATAAAAAAGAATTTCAGACTTGCTACTTTCTTTCCTTCATCTTGGCTAACTGGCTAATTTCTGTGAAGGCAAGGTTTTCATTAGTTCAAAAAGAATTTCACATAGGCTTGCAAATATCTTTCCTTTTTCTCAGCTAACTGGTTAATTTCTGTGAAAGGCAAAAATCTCACATAAGTTCTCGAATTTCTTTCCTTCTTCAGTCTTCCTAATTTGAAGGAGTGTGTGAAGAGAATTATTTTGCACTCACTACAAGTATTATTTGATCACAAGTACAGAATGGAAATGAACAATGAAGAAAGTGATGTGAGTTTTCTTCTTTATAGTAGAGTTCCTCACTTTTAAAATAAATGTAAACAAGATTAGTATAGTTATGTGGTATTGTGCACTTTTAGGACTAGAGTTAGATAATAGAATTTAGTATCTTTATTATTTCTTGTCTGAAGAAAATCGGTCAGTATGGTTAAGATTAAAGAACTTAGTGAGCCATCCAGAAGAATTCAAGCATATTTTAGTCAGTTTGAAGAACTCTGATATTGAAATATCTCTGCAGGCATTCCAACAAACTTTCTATAAGTCTGACCTTTATGGAAGGGTACTAAGGAAAATTCTGGCACTGTCAAGTATGTAAAAGCTTATTTAGGCTAGGATTCAAGCTTTTGATCATCAATTAGTTGACTTAAACAGATCAAACTTCTTGGGTATAGGAATGTTTTTATTTGCTGAAAAAGGTGAAGCTCTCTCCACAGTCCTGCAAGCATTATGTTATGGGTATGTTTTTTAGCCAATGGAATAGGTAACCTGCTTAAAGGGAATGGGATCATGAAGAACAGTATGTTCAGATTTTTTAACCAAAATATCAGTCTATGGAAAAACTAACTTTCCAGCAAGATAACAACACGAAAAACACATCAATGGTTTTTGCACTGTTTTAGTGTAGCTGAGCCAGAATCTAGACATAACGTAATTGAGAATTTGTTTTAAAAAAAAAAAAGCTAATGACATGTTATGTTAAGCTTTCCCACTTTCAAGATTGGAGAGCTTAGCAAAAATAGAAGTGGATCAAAATCCTTGTTGGAATCTGAAGTATGAGAACCACTTACAGGCTGTGATAGTGAATAAAGACTTTGCTGAATTTTACAGTGGTATGAATAATTTTGAAAATACATATCTTAAAGGCTATTTATGCAAAAAGAACAAAGACTACTTAATTCCTTACATGACTAAATTATTAAAGAATTAGCAATTGGTGTTTCCTGGGTTAAAATTGCTTTGAGAATTCTTAACATTTGATTGTTTCTTTTTCTTCAGAATTTAATACAAGAAAATGTTCTTAACATTTATTATGAATCTTTCATCTTGAAAAGATAATTTCAGTTAGTCATTTTCTTGAGGGCCTGTTCTCAATCTGCAAACATTTTCACATACAGATACCACATGTTGATGGTATTTGGAAGAAGATTGGTATGTACAGTTATTTGTTGTTTGTGTAAAATTATCTGCATAGTTACCTACCTGGGAAGAATAGATAAATATCAGAGCAAGTAAAAAAGCCTGCCTGTTTGTAATTGCTAATTTAATGATTTAGCAAGAAACCTTACATAGCTTTTAGCTAAGATCAGAGCAAAGTATCTGTAGAACAACTCTGGCTTTTTTTACATGCCTAATGCTGACTGAACTGTTATGTAATATAAGTCCTCCTATATGGCAGTGAATGTTGGACAATATCCTCACAGATGAAGAAAGGACTTTAAGTAACAGAAATCTTGTTCTACAGAATGATGATAATACCATTGACAGAAAAGTAAGCAACAGCAAAGTTCTAGAGACCATGGAAACAAAAAGGATACTTAATATCAAGAAGAGGAAGTTGAAATTTCTAGGGCATGTAATCAGGCTTGGAAAATTTGATACTTATAAAACAGATCAAAGTCAAGAGAAAAACACATAACCTACCTAACAAGCTTCAGTGAGTGGATAGCAGAGCAGGGTTTGTGAGCAATGTTGAAAAGATCAAATTTATTGAGAACTACAAAGGATAGGAAGCTGTGGAGTGCCATGATTGCCAACATCCTGAAGGAATATAGCACATAGAAGAAGAATGCCAAATCCCTTGGGAAGTTTCAAAACTGAGAATTGAATTTGATTAGTTAAATTTGTATGTCAAATTGTGAGAGAATGTATGATTCATGAAATCTAAGAATATAATAATTAATAGGTATTGTGATTTTGGTTCATATTTTTTACTGCTATTAGAACTAAAGGAGAATCATCTAAAATTATGAAGAGATTGTCATTATTAGGAAGTCTTGGAAAGTGAAATTCAAAGAATCATCTTTTAGACGGCAATGACTATATAAATACCCAAACATTTTAAATTGATCTATTTCTTTAGATAAAAAGATTCTTCAGTATAGGTTGTTACTGTCAAAATATTTATGTAGGTACACCAATAAATCCCAGCCTAATAATCAAAAAATATTTTTACATCAGATTATTTTTAGCATAATTTCCTTCCTTTTCAATGCATTGAATTCATTAATAATTGTGGCGTGAGAAAACCTTTAAATTTTCATTAATTTCAGCTCAAGAATTCTCACAGATCTCTCATCAGAGCTGTTCTAAATGGGAATTCTAATTCCAAAACATTAAACAAATGAAAATATTAATACTACAATGAATGGAATTTCTAAG